AGTTTAGCGAGTTACAGAATAAAATGTCTCTGTCCGCGTAAAATCCTGGGATTCTCTGGCGCGTAAAAAACATCGCACACATCACTTGTCTTTGTAGGTACGCTGTCGGCATCTCGGCCGCTCAAAAGAGTCAGTAACGCCGCAGCAGCGGAGGTGTGTGCACTCGTGACTCGCTGTTACATTTTGGATTTATCGAGGTAATCAAGTGTTTTTCTGGCTTTGGTACACCTATACATTTGATTTCTCTGGTAAAGTTAATAATTATTTGATCAGTCACAATGTTGTGATTTTGTTAAAGAAACGTAGCTTTTTGGGTAGTGTGCTGGTTGTGTAATTACGATAATATTCGCTTTTACGGTTTAAGGGTTATTCTAAATAATCACTACTTTTTGCTTTCTCTGGCATTGATTTCTCTGGCGAAAATGCCAGAGAAATCAAGAAAATTGCCCGAAAAATCATTTAGGTCTGTGACGAGCCTGCGAGCAGACAACAGCCACGCTATCCTGCCCAGTGGCTAGGTCAATTCAATTCAATTCAATTTATTCAACAAAATTACCACATGTGGTGTAGTTGTACAATTGTGATCTGTGTCGTGCCCGCGAGCATACAACAGCCACGCTAGCCTGCCCCGTGGCTAGGTCTGTGGCCGCTTCTGCTCACAGCGCTGTGAGCAGACAACAGCCACGCTAGCCTGCTAGGTTGCTAGATCTGTGACCTCTTCTACACGTAGCGCTGCGAACAGACAGCAGCCACGCTAGCCTGCACGGTGGCTAGGTCTGTTGCCGCTTCTGCTCACAGCGCTGCGAGCGGACAACAGCCACGCTGGCCTGCCCGGTGGCTAGATCTGTTGCCGCTTCTGCTCACAGCACTGCGAGCAGACAACAGCCACGCTAGCCTGCTCGGTGTCTAGGTCTGTTGCCGCTTCTGCTCACAGCGCTGCTAGCAGACAACAGCAACGCTAGCCTGCCCGGTGGCTAGGTCTGTGGCGAGCCTGCGAACAGACAACAGCCACGCTAGCTTGCCCGGTGGCTAAGTCTGTGGCCGCTTCTGCTCACAGCGCTGCTAGCAGACAACAGCAACGCTAGCCTGCCCGATGGCTAGGTCTGTGGCGAGCCTGCGAACAGACACGCTAGCCTGCCCGGTGGCTAGGTCTGTTGCCGCTTCTGCTTACAGCGCTGCGAGCAGACAACAGCTACGCTAGCCTGCCCGGTGGCAAGGTCTGTTGCCGCTTCTGCTCACAGCGCTGCGAGCAGACAACATCCATCCTAGCCTGCCCGGTGGTTAGGTCTGTGGCCGCTTCTGCTCACAGCGCTGCGAGCAGACAACAGCCACGCTATCCTGCCCAGTGGCTAGGTCTGTGTCGAGCCTACGAGCAGACAAAAGCCACGCTAGCCTGCCCGGTGGCTAGGTCTGTGGCCACTTCTGTTCACAGCGCTGCGAGCAGACAACAGCCACGCTAGCCTGCTAGGTGGCTAGGTCTGTGGCCGCTTCTACTCGCAGCGCTGCGAGCAGACAACATCCACGCTAGCCTGCTCGGTGGCTAGGTCTATTGCCGCTTCTGCTCACAGCGCTGCGAGCAGACAACAGCTACGCTAGCCTGCTAGGTGGCTAGGTCTGTAGCCGCTTCTACTCGCAGCGCTTCAAGCAGGCAACAGCCACGCTAGCCTGCCTAGTGGCTAGGTCTGTGGCGAGCCTGCGAGCAGACAACAGCCACGCTAGCCTGCCCGGTGGCTGGGTCTGTGGCAAGCTTGTGAGCAGACAACAGCCACGATAAATAATGACTGACATTAGTAAATGATGCAAATATCGAAATTAAAGTTACGAGTTTGATTTCTCTGTCCTATTTTATTGATTTCTCTGGCGAGAATTTTTTAAACTTGTTTTTCTCTGGAACTATAAGTGAGAAACGAGGGCCAAAGGTATCATTTTTTATCTTTTCAGATATATTTTCAATATCCATTGGTATTATTTCAATTAACTCAAAATTCAAATTCGCCAGAGAAATCACGTGAATTTGCATGGTCCGGAGAAATACTCATTTGCTCCTCCCATACTAAGTGACACACTTTTTCAGCATTTTTATATGGGAGGTCCAATTTTTCTTTTCATATTTCGAAGAAAAGTTTCAAACAAAAGTTGTTCAGTGTTGTGAGTAGATCACACCCTCAAGAGATTTGTACTTAATTAAATGTAACCCTATATATCAGAAGCGGTTGAACTCTGACGTCAGGGTTCATCGGATTGTTGGACGGCTCGGTGTCGACCACGCGGAGAGAGAGTGAGTGATAGAGAGAGCCTACTAACAAAATAACAAATGGATGAGGCCTAGTTAAACCCTGCAGTGGCTTCGAAAACTACTATCGTGAACTTTGAATTATGTTTGTTCTGTACATTGCTATTTCGGCATAAATCATAGGCTGCTGAAACTTTGGAAGATTAATAGCCACAGTACATAGCCTCCTACTTTGATGTATTTGCCTTAAAGGTTAATTGCCGAATTGTTAACATAATGCCGGCATAGAATAGCATCACCCCATTAAACTTTTTTCCAAGTGGAGGTTTTTAAACACGTGTTCAACGTTAGTTTTGCTCTCAATTATCTCAAAGCCCACCAAGTCAACTAGAAACCAGAAACGCTCCCAAACAATTGACTAAGAATACCCCATCCCTGTGTGTAGGTTTACTTAGGTGGGTATGCTAATTTAAAGTCACACGGCAGCGGTACACGAGAGAGGCGTCAAACAAACTTGTTGTACTTGATGTAGTTCGAAGTTCGAGGATTCGTCGAAAATTCGAAATACAACACCAGGATATCACACTATCAGTACCACCGCTAGCAAACCGACCCACTTATGTAAGGGACCATAGTATAGTGGTTTTCATCGAAATACTTAGAAAAATCGTTTTCACGGGCTACTACAGCCATCTTGAATTTATGGATTTTTAATATAGCCAGTGTCACTCAAGCTGCGAAAACGAATCTAACGACACATCACATATCAAGATCCGCCCAGTCGTTTGGGCTGTAGCACGTGAAAACGAATTTCTGGATACATACATATATACAAACATACATACTCTCGAAAACCTAACCCTCCTTCTGAGGCAGTCGGGTAAAAAGAGACTTTATTTTATTCTGTATTTAGACACACGGCAGTGTGTCCGCCAAGTTCGAGCAAAAAAAGCGACACACCGGCCGTGGGTTATATTACACGAACCATTTCGGGCCAAGTTCGACCCACCTATAACTCAAAATCTATTTTATCTACGCATATGAAATTTCTAGTATCTGTCGAGATCTACTTACTTATCTAAAATACAAAATTTCATTAATGTACCTATTGTAGGTCTTGAGATATTGACGTCAGAAAATCGCTATTTTTACTATACACTCACTGACTCACTCACTCACTCATCAAAAACCTAGACCACTTCCAATGGTCGTATTGACTTGAAATTTGGCATGGAAGTAGGTCTTTAGGTCAAGGTAAAGGAAAAAATCTAAAAATGGCCAAGTGTGAGTCGGTTTTAAAAATAATGAAGGTGTAAATTCATACCCCTAAGGAACTAAAACAAAAAAATTATCTATATCTTCCAATCGTCGTACCGACCTAAAATTCGTTACGAAGGTTTGTATTTAGTCAAAGTAAAGTATAAATAAGATATATATTTCCTTACCTAACTTAATCATAAGAAAAAAAGAAAATAAACCTTACAAAAATAAATGAAATCCCACCCAAAACATAAATGTGAAAGGCTGCCAAGTTCGATAATATTGGAATGCTTCGCCTATAAAAGAAGTGAGATCTAAATAAGTACCAAGTTCCATACACAGAGCTCAGTTAAAAATAGTTACAGGAATGCACACTTGATTTTTCGCAGTTTGGAAATAAGAATCTACTTTCCAAACTGCGGAAAATCAAGTGTGTCTGTGTCTGAAACTTGGTACTTATTTAGATCTCACTTCTTTTATAGGCGAAGCATTCCAATATTATCGAACTTGGCAGCCTTTCACATTTATGTTTTGGGTGGGATAAAAGCTTAATAAGTGTAAATTCATGGGCGTTACGTGTAGGACCGTAGGGCAAAAAGTGAATAAAATATGACTAAAACCGTTTTAACTTTACCGCCAATTTTCGGACTTTTTGTGCGAAAGAAAAGTTTTAAATTGTAAGCTATTCTCCGTTATTGCCTTCTTTTGTGCTTAGTTCATTTGCCGAATGGTTGCTAGAATTACGAACGTGGTTGACTCTGAAAAACCTATTACTTGTATAATACTTTTTATGTAGTAGCATCGCGTCTACGTAGCGATTTGGCGGATTCTTTTAATAGGGTGTCTTTTATGCGCGGTTTGTGTTTATATAAACACGCCTGGCAAGCGTAGCGTTGGACACCCTTCGGCCTGATGGACCGACGACTTAAAGAGGGCAGCTGATAGCCACTGGATGGCGAAAACGGGAGATAATGCCATGTGGCATACACTGAAGAAGGTAGGCGTCCATCAGTGGACTGACAGTACAGTTCCAATAAGGATAAGTTTCGTGCCTCTTAAATGGCACCTGGTTTCCTAAATTACCAGGGGAGCATAAGCTCCGCCTTTCCCGTGTTCAGTGGAAGCGAAGTCTTATTACTAGCAAGGAATCTGTTTGCTTTGCAGGAAATAGGTGGTTTGCCTAACAACATACATACATAATATCACGCTTATTTCCCTTATATTAAATTATCAATGAAGAATGAGGCTTCGCTTCTACTGTTAAAGATTCGTGTATCTTCGCAAGCTCCAAAGTGTAGACGCCACGACGTGCGACATGGCGACGCTTGAAACCGTTTCCATATAAAATGTAAGAAACAGAAGAGACAAACGAGACACGCCTCTCAGCGATAACGATAAAAGCACGGAGCCATCTTTTTTGCGGACTTCAGAGGTATTGGTATTTTTGATGCAATCGTAGTGCTACATTATTCTCATAAATAAAATAAGAAATAGAAAAAAAATGTTATGCATCGACCGGGGATTGAACCCGGGTCGCATGTTTTAACTCTATGCTACTGCGCTGCGCTATCGATGCACCAGTAGATGCCTGCCAAATTTTTCAATCTCTTGATGCACTTCTCCAAGCAACGATCTAGCGACATCTGTAGAAAGTATTTATAACTTTACCTACTACCTGGTTTACATTACAGAAGTTCAAACCATATACAGGCTGTTAATTTAATGCGTGCCATAGCTTCAGGGTAGGTTAAGTATCGATTAAGGATGCCGTAAAAAATATTGAAATAATTCCTTGTCAAATTTTTTTCTTTGTATTCAGGCAAAAACTTTTTTTTGTAAATTAAATTTTTGACACTATTATTGTTTAGACAGTGCCCATAGTACTTTCGTCTAAACAACTTAGAGACAGAACGAATTTCGGCTGAGATATAGGCATTCGAATCAAATGTCAGCCAAGTAAAAAAGAAATTGTCACTGGGATTTTTTTCTATATTTTTTACAGCATCCTATCGAAACCTACCCTGACGCTATGGCACGCATTTAGATTAACACCCTGTATAATAAAGCTTTTTTTAACTTCTTATTTTCATTTATGAGTTCAGAGATGTCTAAAGTACCAGGCGAGCATAGTTCAAGAGAGTAGTTGAAGAGGATCCTCCTTAGGAACCTCATTATCATTACTAACAAGGAACTTGTTTGCTTTGCAGGAAATAGTTTGCCTAACAACACAGATCTGTGACGTCCAGGGCTCTAAATACGGTTTTGCAAGATCGCGCGCCGATTTTAACCTGAACATGCTCACTTCCCCCTCGACCAAACTGCTAGAAGGGAAGGCAAGATATGTAACCACAGACAATTTAGCCTTGAACAAAAGATGTACCAATTGATTGAGGTTTCATTAAAACTTCGTATATGCATATGTAGACTAGCGGTTACCCGCGGCTTTACCCTCTTTTTTATTATCATTGGTCTATATCTGTCTTAGGTTGGTTTAATGTGGTTTAATCTAGTTTAGTGTTGGTGAAGGCTTGCATCAAGGGTCGGCTTTGAGTCCTTACTACTTCCTGTAGCTACAATAGATCTGAAAAGGTCGCAGTAGCTGTTGGTAGCACAGGACCAACCCCTTGTAATCAAAATACCACTTCCTGTTTATAATGGATGCTCTGATGTCGGACATACAGGAAGAGGTACCCTGGTGCATGATGTTCGCCCATGACATTGTACTCGTCGGTGAAAGTGGACATGAGGTACAGAGCTGACTGGAAAAATGGCTGGAAAATCTTGAGTATGTTGGCCTGAAAATCAGCAGAACAAAGACTAAACAAATGTTTTGTCATTTCGGCGGTCTCTTCGGCTAAAAAAGTTTGGATAAATTGTGTAAAAGATGATATAAAAGAAAAAGGTGTAAACGAAGATTTGACGGCTGATAGAGATGAATGGAAGAGAAAGACATGTTGCGCCGACCCCCAAATGAGTTGGGATAAGGGCAGGCAGATGATGATGTGTCTATTTCAGTCAATTTAAGCAATGTCATATCAATCATGTAACCTGGTTTTTTCGTGGCTGTAGCGGCAGTCTCTGCCACACATCTGCAGGTATATGGGTTTGTATTGACGGCGGAAAAAGTTTGATGCTGCCTCAACCTTCTGGCCGCCAAGGTCTCAAACCAGACGTCTTAGTCGTTTATAATGCGTCCGTTCGTTACACGCCTTCATTTGTTTCACGTATAAAAAGACCTTCCTCAAGCAATTTGGTTTTTTGCGTTTAGTGGGCTTAGTAACGGTGCTGATTATCCAGTTTTAGTCTGGTATTCACTATTTCGTAAAGAAACCAAACAAGAAGGACCTGATTCATAATAGGTACTTAACCTGGTCCTATCGCGACAGTCTTCCAGCGACCATGACTGATGAAACTCAGTCAAAACGCCAGGTTTCGGACCTTGTTGTTTATTGAATATGCAGGAAAGACAAGTCAGCGGACGTGGAGCCAAGTTGGCTAAAGGAGTGTGCCGTAGATCTCTGTACCACGCGCCTGACAGAGAACCCTTTTCGGTTTAAGTATGACTTGTCAGACTCCAAGGCCCTTGTGCTTAGGTCGGGTTAGTCCTCAACCCGACCTCCACGAAAAGAAAGGAGTCGGTGCTATCTTACTCTGCCAGCAACACAACGACCATGATTTGTGTGACCCCTATGTTCCTTCCAAGTTCTGTGACGCCAAAGATTAGATAATATGATTAATGCTTTTACATTGGAACATTTGCAACAACAAGCTTTTATTACCTACGTGTTATCAGGGAGTTCATCATCATCATAACAGCCACAATAAAGTCCACTGCTGAACATGGGCCTCCCCCAAGTAGAGGGTATTTGCCATACTCACCACGCTTGGCAGGCGGGTTGGTGAGCGCAATGCAAGATGTTGCAATGCGATTGCGAAATTCATCCAGGATTGAACCCTGGATAAATTTATCCCTTAGTCGCTTCTTACGACACCCACCCACGGGAGAGTTAAGTTAGCATAAAGTATTACGGAGGAAATTAAAATATACGATACAATGCTAACCTTTCGGGATTCACATTCTCTTAACTAACCTTTAGTTAGCCTGCTGTGGCTTTCTGTCAAACAGAGTTAGAAAAGGATATGTCACCGTAAAATTGGATATAACGCTGGATTATAATCTATCTTGCTAAATTATAATCTGTCGAAATACTGTAACACATTCACTCGTATTCCAATTTAACGTATAATTTTTCAGTAGATTACAATATAACGAACTAAATCCGTGAAACTGTGATACGATTACGCAGCTCGCGTTCTGATTGGTCAAGTCGAGCATCATGTCGCCAACGACGCCATCTTTGTTTCACAGCTGATTGCTTTCGTTGGTTCTCAAGCGTAAACAAACCGTTTTTGTTCCATTTTATTATAGTTTTGTGTTGAAAATTGCTCATATAAACTAATTGAATAAGAAAATAATCTCTTAAGCACTGTTTGTTTACGTTCGATACCCATCGAAATGGCGATCAGCTGTCAAATAAACATGGCTGCGCGATATACATGAGGTTCGACCAATCAGAACGCGAGTTGACAGTTTTACTGTTTTACTTCATAATATTGTAATATTTTGAAAATTGATACGTTAAATTGTGATCCGTGTTTATGTCTTACAATATTTCGACAGATTGTAATTTAGCGAGATATATTATAATCTAGCGTTGTTTGCAATTTCACGGTGACAGATAGATGTCAAAGTCTTGTAATTTTTTATTTCTTCTCGATTTCTAGTCAATTTAGTCGCTGTTGTTTATTGTCGTCGCCTTATTTTGAAAAAAATAATAATTAATTTAGTTGCGATCATGTCCTATCTCGTTCTTACCATTTTTGACGAAAAGTATCAGGACTAATTTAGGTTCCAGTTTTATTATTTTTCTTCTCCTATCTTGTAGCACATTATTATCGAGTCGTGAGACACCGTCTCTATGTTTTTTTGGATTTCTTTAACGTTTGTTAGATGTTTTTCCGTAATAATAACTATATCGCTTTTCAGTTTTTCAATAACTACACTCAAAAATAGTACCTAAGTAACATAAAATAGTACCTAAAAACATAAAATTAGAAGCAGAAACGACACGTGTAGGATCAGAAAAGATAAATAAACAAACAAACACACTTTTCTATAATTTGATATTGTTGACATGATTGTTGATAATTTTGACAATGTCAAACTGTGAAAATAATAGAATGAAGCACAGGAATAAAATAAAACATACATTTACTAATAAACATGCAAATCATGCAAAGAAAATAAGAAAGTAATTCATTTATAAAAAAATATAATTAAAAAATGTACCTTAATAGGTACTTGTAGGTAAATATGCAAAGAAAACTTCGTTTGAGATGTAAGTAAACAAAATGTTGATTTTAGTCTTTCATTATAAGATGTCTTCTTGTTCTTCAGCAGCTAAAATAGTCCACTGCTGGACACAGGCTCGATTGAAGGGTAAGTAGTTGCCATACTTACCACTATTGCTAAGCGCAGTGCAAGGTGTTTTCTTCAGAGGTAATCGCAGTCTTCTGCTTGACCTATCCAATTTCTCATTTTGTAATGGTCTTGCATTTACAACGAAGCAAAAATTGTATTTACTTAAGTAAACTTTCCAAAATTGCACTAGACGGTCATATCAATAACATAATGCGCCGCTGTTTTCGATACTTGCCAGTTCAGCCTAGTATCACTACCTGTGTCCACCGCGAGTTAGTACAGTCTTCCTTCCTGCGCAGCTTACATCAGCCCCCGTGCGCCGGTCGCTCACGTGAGCTGCGGTGGTCATCTCATCATTTAGGCTGTGGTGTGACTTTGTACTTAGAATGTACCATTCTATTCTATTCTAATACTCGTCAACTTGCGCACACTACGCGTAGAGCCCGCGTAAGTTTGAACCCTTCATAGAATTAGCCTCTGGGAATAAACTAATAAAACAATAAAAAATGTTTTACAGGTATCTTCAAAGAACATTAAAATCGCTGCAAACAAGTTAAGAGAGTAATAGAAGAACCAAATAACCGTATGTCATCCCGAGCCAGTCTCTGTCGAAGATTTTGAATTTTCCAGAAGTTCTTATGACTAGGAAAACATTGCAGTTGGGGAAGAGACTGGAATGATCAGAACAATGCAATGCGCTGGGCAACATTTGGGTAGTTGCGTCATGTGCTGAAATCATCCTTGCCTCAATTCCACAAGACTCGATTCGATCAGTGCGTCTTACCAGTCATGACGTCATGGCCAACGAGGCTGAAACTTAGAAAGCTATCCCACCAGCTAGATGTCAGTCAGAAAGTTGTGCAAAGCTCGATACTGGGGTCTCGTTTATGGATACAATGAATACAATAAAATTACTTATTCATAACAGAAGTTACAAGTCAAATGAGGTAAATACAAAATGGATCTTACCGAAAGTGCGAACATGTCGCAGTACGATGGCAGAATTAGGTTGTTGGCCAAAATCCTAGTTTTTTGGCCAAAAGCTGGTATATGGCAAAATCGTAGACTTCCTTTGGCCTTCGTTACTAGGTAGA